TGATAAATTATACATTAGTATTATTTTCATATCTAACATTGCCCGCTGTCTCCCTTCATCCATGTTACTATTGTTCGTCCCCCTGGGGAAGGGGGCAGGAATTATATAGCATTGTAGTTGGTTCCCCATTTTCCACCCTTTTCCCCCCACCTTCCCCCTACCCTAATGGTATCCCTACTTCCATTGCTGTTCCTGAGGGGTTTATCAGTCCTGGATTCCATGTGTCGAGAGCTCTTATCTCTACCAGTGTACATGTTCCAGTTTATCCGGATTTGTAAAGTAGAACTGGGATCATGATAGTGGGGAGGAGGAAGTAAAGAACTAAAGGAATATTGAGTGTTTGTTCCATCGGTGCTGTGCTGTACCCTGGCTCTCTTGTTCTTTCCTTGTGACCCTTCTGTGAGGGAATGTCCAACTTATCCCATCGACACCTTGTGATCACACAGGTTGGTGTGCTTCTTCCATGTGGGATTTGTTGCTTCCCTGCCAGATGGCTGCTTGTTTAGCTTCAAGCCTTTAAGACCACAAATGCTATATCTTTTAATAACCAGGAACCATCAACTTACTTCGCCATATTTGCTTATAAACCCATTTTGACTTCAGTGATCGTGTAGAGAAGGTGAGCATCACAGAATGCCAGGTTATTAGAACTAAGTCTTCTTGCATTGAGGGAGTACTTGAGTAGAGACCCAATGCCCATCTGCTACCTTAATACTTAACATTTAAATATATGTACATAGACCTATATCCCTATCGTTATATGTTACTATATTTACACGTGTGGATGCCTAAAGTTATGCCTCTATAAATGTCTTTTGCCTTCTAGTTCTTTATTTTTTTTTACTTTCCTCCTGTCCCACTATCATGTTTGACCTTCATTCGACTCTCAGTACTTTCTCTCAGCTACATTGCTCTTGATCCAACCCCATCAGGTACTCTACGCCCTCCTCGCCATTGATTTTAGATCTCTTCTTATTCCCTTGTCCCTAGGTTTGTTGGCTCCCTCCTCCCTTTCTCCCACCTCTTCCTCTCCCATGCCCCCCAAAGCCATCGCCCCATTGTTTTTTCCTCGGAATCGGTTATCCTACCTATCCTTTATGGATAGACATGAGAAAAAGAAAAAAAGAAAGGAAATAAACAAAAACACCTACCCACCAAAAAAACCCTTCTTAATGCAGCGACCCTTTAATACAGTTCCTCATGTTGTGGTATCCCCCTAACCATAAAATTATTTTCATTGCTACTTCATAACTATAATTTTGCTACTGTTATGAATCAGGCAACCTCTGTGAAAGGGTCATTCAACCCCCAAATGGTTGGGACCCATAAGTTGAGAACCGCTGCTATAAATAGTTCCAGGTCTGTCTGCTGACCCTTCTGAATATTTTCCAATCTGGTCTGATGAAGTGCCACACCCTGCCCACCGATTCTGCGGTCCATTTTCAGGATTACTTGGGACCAAATTGTTTTGCTCCCCTTGTTGGTCTGTCTGCTGTGTTCCCTCCATGTTTCGCTCTGGTGGGTGGGGGTAGGGGAGCTCGGACCAAGCACAATCTCCACTCTGTGCCTCCAGTCCCTGCCAATCATTTGGTGGGAATTACTTCACCATTGCTGGAAAGACCATATCAAAAGGAACCTATCTCCCTGTAACTGCTTGCTCCTCCTTGGGGACCTCGGTTTCACGCTCCCTCCCCAGAGATGTATGCTAAATGTAGTTCCAGTCCCCTGCTGCTGGAACACCCTGGCAACGGATTTGAATATAAAACTGTTCAGTGTCTGCTTTCCCCAGTAGACTGAGCTCTATAAGATTAGGAACCCTGTTTGTTCATTTTATCTTCAGCATCTAAAATCACATATTTACAGTAAGAGAATAATTTTTTATTTATCATTTTATTGAGAGCTCTGATCGCTATCATAACATTCCATAGTGCAATCCTATCAACAGTACTGTACAGTTGCTACCACAATCAGTTTCAAAACATTTTAATTTTTCTTGAACAATTTGATATCAGCTCCCCTTTGTTCCCTCCCTCCTCCACCTTAACCCGCCCCGCCCCCAGGAACCCTTATCCATTTTTTTCCCTATAATAGTTTTTCTGTGAGGAGGGCATACCTTATGCAATCCAATATACAACCATTTACATACAATTCTTTTCTTAGATCCCATTGAGTGGGATTATACAGTCATCAGTGCTATCCGCTCCCTATTCCCCCTCCCTCCCCTCTCTTCCCATACTCTAAGGGAACCATTACTGCTGTTACTGTTCCAGAAGGGTTATCTATCTTGGCTTTCATGTACTGAATGATCTTAAATATACAAATGAACATATGCAAATCTAACATAACCAATGAGGTAAAGCAAATAAAAACCATAATAGTAAGGGGAGGAAATATTAAATAGTTACATGGTTCTTCAGTATTATACCACCCCCTGGATTTATCATCCCTTCCATGTGGCCCTTCTGAGAGGGACTGTGTGACACATTTCGGAGTTGTTTCAGTTACCAATATTTTCTGTTTTTTTATTGATTTTTTTTCTAGTCTTTATTATTGGTTTTGTTTTTTGTTTGCTTATTTTTGCTTCCTGCTTGTGTTTTGACAGATTTTTTGCCTATGAATCCAGGGTAGTTAAATCTATAGAAACAATAACTGGATTAATAATTTTCTAGGGGCAAATAAAAATTTGTTTCAAGAGTGCAGTGCAATGTTTTATAGTATATTCATAGACTTGGCCAATCACTGCCACATTCTATTATGGAACATTCTAGTTACCCCTGAAAGAAAGTATATGTCCATTATCAGCTGTTCTTCATCTGACCCCCTGGACTGGCCACCACCATTCTGCTTTCTCTCTCTCTCCATGGACTTGCCTAGTCTCGATAGTTCATACAATGTATGTCTTTTGGAGTCTGCCTGATTTAATTGTCACATTTTTCAGGTTACTAATCCATGTCATAATGGGTTGGGGGAGGTGTTAAAATAGTGCAGCTAAACATAGAACTACCATATGACCCAGCAATTACTGTATCCTCACTAACATGCTATTGTCTATCTTTTTAAAATAATAACCCTCCTAGTGGAGTCAGAGTGGTATTGCATTGTAGTATTGATTTGTATTTTCCTAATGACTGATGAGGCTGAAAACGTTTGATGCTGTGGAATAAGCATTGGGCTACTAACCACACAATCGGTAATTCAACCCCACCAACCACTCTGTGGGAGAAAAATGATCCTGTATGCTCCCATAAAGATTTACCATCTCAGAGGCCCTACACAGAATTGATGCGAGTGTGAATCATCTCCATGACAGTGGGCTTTGGGTAATGGGCTTGAACATCTTTTCAAGGGCTTATTGTTCTTTTAATATATTCCTTGGAAATTTTCTATTTAAATTCTTCTGCTATTCTTTAATTGGGTTACCTGTCCTTCCATTGTTGAATTTCCAGGTTCTTTTTATATATTCCCAACACTAGACTCTTAACAGATCTTTCACCTGCAAATGTTGTCTCCCATTCTGTGGGTTGTCTTCTTGATTTTTGTAAGGCTAGGTTTCCTCCCCTGGAAACAGAAAAAATAAAAGCATAACCTCCCAGGTTACTTGGGAAGATTCACGAGACGATCTGTTAGAGCATTTATAGAAGTGAAAGAACACACATTATGCTAACCTCACTATGGACTGGCTGTTTGCATTAGCTAGTATTGTCTAAATCAGGAGTCCCTAGGTGGTGCAGATGGTCAAGCACACAACCCCGAAAGAAATAGTCTGCAGTTCAAATCCCTCATCCATCCCTCAGAACAAATCCTTGGTGATCTACTGCCCAAAAGTCACAGCTTTGAAGACACTATGGGGCAGTTTTACTCTGTACTCACAGGGGTTGCCTTGAGTTAAAACTAACTCAATGGCAATCAACAAAAGAACAACTGTCTAACACAGATTCATACAGGTGCAAGCTCACACATCCTAGCTACATCGTTGACAGATATTATATGAAAGATTGAAACCAAATCCATTGTCACTGAGTCTATCCCAACTCACAGGAAGCCTAGAGGACAGAGTAGAACTGTCCCATAGGGTTTCCAAGTCTGTGAACATTTATGGAAGAAGACTGTCACATCTTTATCCCCTAGGGTGGCTGATGGATTCAAACTGGCTGACCTTTCTGTTAGCAGCCAAAATTTTAACCATTTTACAACCAGGGCTCTTTAAAGGTTACCAGTTCTTTGATTTTACCAGCAGCTTATTTCCAGATGAATGAAGTTATTTTATTTGTGTGGATTGCATTTTTTATCCTGGATACATGTTAAAGTATTTGATAGTAGCTGGAAACTATTGGCCAGTTTTGGAATCTGTCACTCCCTTTGTTTCTCTATCTAGACAGCTAGACATACTTTATTTTATTGTTCTTTATTTCATTGCATATCTCAGATATTAAACATTGTTTAACACATGGAATATTTGTGACAACCCTAAATTACACAATTCTATCAGTGCTATTTTTCTAATAGTTTGTGCTCATTTTGTGTCTCAGTGTCACATTTTGGTAATTCTGAAAATTACCATACTTATTTAATCTGTATTCTGAGCACATAATCTAAAAGGCTGCACTCTCTGAAGGAGAACGCAGCATCAGGATCGAAGGAAGACTCATTTACAGTGTCTCATATGCAGATGACACGACCATGCTTGAGAAAAAGTAGAAGTCTTGGAGCACTTGGTGATGAAGATCAAAGCCTACAAACTTCAATATTGTTTTTAAAAAATTCCTTACAACTGGACCAATAAACAAAATTATGATAAACAGAAAAGAGAAGTTGTCAAGGATTTCATTTGACGTGGATCCACAATCAAGGCTTATGGGAGCAGCAGTCAAGAAATCAAATGACACAGTTAGTAGTGCATTGGGCAAATCTGCTACCAAAAGACCTTTTTAAAGTGCTGAAGAGTCAAGAAGTCCCTTTGAGGCCTAAGGTGTGCCTCACACCCGCCATGGTATTTTCAGATGCCTCACGTGCATGGACAAGCTGGACAATGAAGAGGGCAGACTGCAGAAGAAGACTGAACATACCATGGACTACCAGAAGAACAAACAAATCCGTTTGGGAGGAAGTGTAGTCAGAATGCTCCTTAGGAGCAAGGATGATGTGACTGTGCCTCAGGTACTTTGCACAAGATATTAGGAGGGACCAGGGAGTCCATGAAAAAGAGGAAAACCCTTGGTGAGATGGATTGGTACAGTGGCTGCCACAACGGGCTCAAAGACAGCAACAATTGTGAGGATGGCGGAGGACCGGGGAGTGTTTCCTTCTGTTGGACATAAGGTTGCTAAGTCAGAATGGACTGAATGAGCACCTAATGACAACATTACACTTTGAATCGTATAATGGAAGCTTGACTTTTTATATGACTCATTTGGGGTGATATTTGTGGTGGTCTGAAACCAAACCCACAACACCTCCAAGATATACCTGTAGTTACTCATCTATCAACGATGTGAGCCTACAGATAGATAACAGGATATAAGTAGCCTACTGCTGGGATAAGTATTCTGAATTGGCACCTTCTTACCGAAAGTAAAATCTTTAAAGGACAGATCTCCAATTTAATAAGCATTCCCTGACACTCTGTAAAACCTACTGTGATTATTCTGTGGTTGCTTAGACTGCTTTTTTTTAACCCAAAAGACTTGGTAAGTTCCTCTGCAGTGATTTTCTTAAGACTGCTTCTGAATGCATCAAAACAAGAACCTTGCTAAAAAGGTTTCCCATAGCATAGTCAAAAACAAGTAGTGTTTGTTAAACTCTCATCAGACCCTATTCATGTATTATTTCAATTACTCCTCACAACAACCCCGGCAAGTAGGTATCTGCATCTACATTTAAAGGCGGGGGAAAAAGAGGCTCAGAGAGACCAGCCCATTTGCCTGGATTTGCACAGCTAGTAAAAGCAAGACCATGGACCGGTTGAGAACCAGTTCATCCAACTTGCACATCTTTATTCTTCCCCTTTCACCAAGTCATCTCTGTGATTTGACCCTTTGGCTTTGTGGATTATGTGTTGGCCTGCTAACTCAAGGTCAGCAGTTTGAACTCACCAGTTACTCTGAGGGAGAAAGATGAAGCTTTCTGCTCCAATAAACACTTATGGCCTTGCCAATCCACAGGGCCAGTTCTACTCTGCCCTATAGGACCACTACGTGTTGGAATCAACTCTAGAGCAGTGAGTTTTTGTTTATCTTTGTGACTTAGAATGAGAAGGGATTGGTTTGCTAATTCTATGAGATGTTAGTGCATAGCAATTTAGATTGTATGTCACATATGGGCACAGATGTATGTCACAGTAGACCCCCCTCCTATCTTGAGAACCCCTCTCCCAGTGACCTGGCCCAGCCCTTCTGTAGGACTCAAGGGCAGCACTCCAATGAAGCTCTTCCATGTTTGCAGCAGGGTTCTAGGGCTTGAGCATCCCCCAAGGTGTGCTGGGGAGCCACAGGGGATGCATTTACACCAAGCTGATGTTTGGAGAGAGATGGCCCAAATGACTCAACATGGCTGGCGTTCCACCCCAATGTGACTGTGCCATGCGCTACAATTTATAGTGTAAACAAGTTTTCTCCAGACGCTCAATATATCATGCAACTCATTTCACATGCACAGAAGGAGCCATTAAATTATTCCAGTCCCATTATTCAAAATGCTCAGAACATTCCTCTGTATTAGTGCCAGTGAAGGGGTGGCCCAACGAGCAAATGCCTTCACGGTAATGCTGAATTTCCCCTGGGAATGGCATGCCTCATCCTGTGACTTAGGAAGAAGATATGGCATCGCAGAGCCCCTTGGAAAACAATTCATATTTTGTTCCCACAATTGGACCAACTTTCCAATCAGGCAACACAGCAGCTCAGCATGTTTGGGGCTTGCTGACAGACATTGACTGTCAATAAAATGCTGGTGTCTTTTTAAAAGATTCCTAGTTTATGGAGTGTGGAGGTGGAGACTGAGGCTTACCTTCTCACAGCCTCATTCCATCTCTAGCTTCATGGGGAGACATGCTGGTGAAGCCCTATGTAGTAGCACACCGCTGTTTATGTTGGAGACGTTATCACAACAAATGGCGTCATTGGATGCCATTAGCCTGTTTATGTTACTTCTGCCAATCCAATGAATCAACATTAATACTGACTTCAAAAAACAGATGAAACACGGTCTGCTAGAACTCTATTTTCATTACAAAATAAATATTTAAATGTGGTCTAACAATCACCCTTATGAAAGTATCCCTTGAGGTAAGCGTTGTATCTGTTTCTTTATTCAGGAAGGACATACAAAACCAACAATTGAAAAAAAGCTCCACTGGGCAGAGCATTTGTAGTTTGTATTTTTCCTGCTAGGTGAGCATCTAGCAACTGTTTCTTGAGTTAGTGCACCCAGTGGCATCTCCTGGGAAAGTTCTCTCTGGTGACAGTGATTTTTTTCATAAAAGCAGTTTGGGTTGAACCTCATTTTTTGTGATGGCTAATGTAAGAGAACAGCATGTAGCTGTGACTTTTTATTTCCTGCTTGGGAAGAAAGCCGCAGAAACTACACTGATGTTGAACACAGCTTACAAGGTCAGTGCGATGGGAAAAAACTCAAGTGTATTAGTGGTTTTCTTGTTTCAAAAAAAGGTGAAATGTCGATTGATGACAACCCTCCGTCTGGACATCCGTCAACTTCCCGAACAGATAAAACTATCGACAAAATTCATGCACTTGTGCTGGAAGACCAGTGATTGACCATTGAAGAGATGGGGAAGTTATCTGGACTATCTTGGAGCATGGTTCAGCAAATTTTAATGGAAGATTTGGGACTGAGAAGGGTCTCTGTGAAATTTGTGCCTTGGGTTCTGACTGATCAGGCAAAAGAGTGTCAAGTGGACACATGTTGTGCTTTGAAAAAACAGCTCCAATGCAACCCAATCTTTTTTGTTCCAAGCTCATTACTGGTGATGAGAAGTATGACCTTAAACCAAAGATCAATCAAGCCAGTAGAAGATGCCATTGTCAATTTGATCCCCAAAAGTTCATCAAGTGAAATCAAAGACACTCATTTGTTTTCGTTTGTTTAATGTGAGAGGGATAGTGCATTTGGAGTTGATTCCACCAGGTTAGACTGTTAATCAAGTTTCTATTTAGAGCTTCTGAAAAGATCACATACCTGTGTGTGACCCAAAGGGCTTGATTTGTGGCAGACCGGGGATTGGTTTTGCCACCACGACAATGCACCTGCTCACACAGCTATCTCAATCTGCCAGTTTTGGGGCTACAGCAGCATGCCTCTCATGCCCCACACACCTTACTCACCTGAGCTCGCTCTATGAGACTTTGTTTCTGTGAATGCAGAGGGACATGAAAGGACAGTAATTTGATGATGTAGAAAAGGTGAAGGATGAGTCAGAAATATGTTTCCAAGAATAGAATCCCAGTTTTGACATATGTATTAAGCGGAATGCAGAGTACTTTGAAGGTAATCAGGTTTTTAAAAACAATTTAAATATGTAACTTTTTTTAAAAGTCTTTGTTTTGGTATTACCCCCTTGGATTCTTCTCTACCTAGTCTTTAAGGAGGTTGGATTCGAAATTTTATCCAGTGTATTTTTAGCATCTATTGAGATGATCATATGGTTTTTAGTATTCTTATTTGTACTCCTGGACTTGGGTGGATTAATATTTTATGCTATGCAAGTTGGTAGGATTTTATGCAAATTTTAATATTTGAGTTTGGAAAACGTTGATTGACTCATATGAATTAAGACTCTGCACTAACAAACCAACAGACCGAAATGACCTCCCTCTGCTTCTGGCAAGCACAAGTACAGCTCTTGCCTTTCTTCAAGTTTTCCTTTGACACATTTTGGTAGTTTTCCTCGGTTCCAAATAAAACAACTATGGGTATGTTCAGGATAATCCAGGCTGAACTGCTTTGAGCCAAGAATCACAAGAGATGATAAAGATGAGGCATTTCCTATGTGGTAGGAAGTTGAAGTTGGTTATCTCGTCTAACAGTCAGCAATCCTATCAGGGTGTGCTGTTATGCTCCCTGATACACAGATGGGAGTACTGAAGCATTCAGAAGTTAAAGGAATTTGATCTAAGGTGACACAGCTAGTGAGGGTTGGGACCTGGGCCCATCTGATTGCACAGAAGTCTCTAGCCCACACCACTGGGTCCTTCTCTTTGCTCAGTAGCCATGGGTGAGTCTGTTAGCATTGGACAGGAAAGCTATTCGTCTCTGAAGACTGGGAACATTGGCTACGTCTTGCCTTGTGTATCTCTAGCATAGCGCATATCTATTTCCCTTACCAGAGAAATAGGCCTACTGGCTCTTATTCTGTTTGATTCTACCTTTGAACTTCAATGTGAGTAGCCTGTTCTATGTGAGCCATCCAGAAATGAGCCTGCTCAGCATGGACAGATAGAGTTTTGTGTGATACAGGGAAGCAACTCTGCCATGGCACTGCAAGGAGCCAGTCAGGCCAAAGCTTGGACCACAAATCTGAGATTCGGTGGAACACCTTGCACTCCACTTGGAACACAAGAGGATGGAAGGGTGGCAAGGTATACTTCAGGCTCTCTCCCATGGGCCTCCCTGCCTCTTCTAGGGCCAGTTTCCCATTTTCTCACTCATTCTGATGAAGTTTGGGGCTCATTGTCCCACCTCCTCAGAATAGACCTGCAGACTACAAAACGGCTTTGCTCTCATCAAAATCAAGGTGTTCAGGAATAGTTGTCCCACAACTCGCTGGATGGTCAACAGCTCGCTCCCTTTCTCTGTGTAGTTCCGTTTTGTTGTGTGTGTGTGTGTGTGTGTGTGTGTGTGTGTGTGTGTGTGTAACCCACACTAGTGTTGGCTATTCCCCCTTTCTTTTGGAATCTAAAAGTAGATTGCTGTGTCTTTTACCAGTTGAACCACTAAGGCGTAGGCCTTGGTCTGACCTATCTTATATGTGTTTGTTTGGCAGGCAGTTTTCAGGCTCCCCTGCTGGAATTGCTTCCAGAGGTCCTGGGCTACATGTGCCCAAGGTCTTCCCAGCATCGGGGTTCAATAGGGTCAAAACATTGAGCACAGGGGTTGTAAAACTATCTACTTCCTTCTACCCTAAATGAAAGCATGAGGAGTCA